AAACTGCCCAGCGCTGACTACAGGAAGCCTGAGGCAGAGTTGCTCTGCCCCAGGCTTCCTGGAATAGCCGCTGATCAGTTTCAGCAGCAGCTGACTTGGGGACGCCTGGGTTTCTTAAGTTGAATCTGTATGTAAGTCAGAACTGGCGTCCAGATTCAGCCGCGGTTGAAACTGATCAGTTTCAGCAGCGGCTGACGCCAGTTCCGACTTACATACAGATTCAACTTAAGAACAAACCTACAGTCCCTATCTTGTACGTAACCCGGGGACTGCCTGTACAATGGAAGCAAGGGAAGTCCTAGCTAGATATGCAGTGGGGGAAAGAGGTTAATGGGAAAGCTGTGTTGGTATGAAAAAAATCGAGAGTGATTATCTATAGCTTTATTCATTATGGGCCAGATATTTAAAGGTGTACAGATGCTTATTTGAATCTCCAGGCACCTGAAAACTTGTAAACATCTGCTCCTGCTTATTATTTGGACTGATAAGCTATACAACCATCTGATGAATTCAACGAAGATCCCGATCCTGCCACTAGATCCATGCACTGCATGCAATCACTAAGTAATCTAGTAGGATGTAATAATCTAGTAGGCTACAGCCCTACCTATCCTGTATCACATTCAGCCATGCTAGTTCCAACAAGATAATCCAATGGTTGAATAAGATCAGTTAATGGATGAAAACTAGCTGGTCAAAGAGAACCTATCTGGTTCAAGTTCATGTTGAAGATTAGAGTTTGCAGCCAAGATGCAGTCTCCTTTAGCTGAGGATACATGCTTACGGTTGTTCAATTCAGTCCATAGTTTAGGAGTGCTCAGGGTGGCCTTTCTGTCCCTAAGCGCTTACACAGCAGCATCTGCAAGAAATACTTGCTATTATCTCCATTTGGCCAGTATGCTCTCTTCCATCCTGCTATATTATAACCAAAATCAGGACATCCAGGCCTTTGCCACATCCCACCTAGACTGTAGCAATATAATATACCTTACCTAGGCATGAAATCATCAGCTCTTGGTAACTCTTAAGTAGAACAGAACACTGGAACAAATCTCCTCAGCAACATGAGCTACCGAGAGTGCACCATGTTGTTTGTTTTTGTACTGTGTCAGGTTGTTCCCACTAGAATATTGAATCATGTTCAGTACATTCAATAGATATTGTGGGTCCAGACCAATAGATTGCTTAAAGTTCCAGGATGAAGGCGGGGCTGACAATTCTGCTTCTTGGCCACATGAAATTTTCTACCATGTGATAAAGCTCATCTGTGCAGGAGGCAAAGCTTTCTCATAGGTCACTTTCAAACTCTGGAATTAACTCCTAGAAGAACTTTGGACCATCACAGACCTTGCCACCTTTTCCTCCAAGGGCAAGGTTCTTTGACCTTGCTTTCTCTGCAGTGAATGCAAAGCAACACATACATCCTAAAAAAACTTACAAAACCATTAACAGTGCTACACTGTGCGTACAGTTCTCCCCCTCATGATAGGATATGAGAGACTGACTCAACATAATGGATGTTAATTACATCACTTAATGTACTACTTGAAGGTGCTCTGATACTGTGGTGATAGAGTGATTGGACCTCTCTAGTTCAGCACCCTTGGAACCTGACCAGTGTTGAAACAGAGAATTTGCTGAACCATAGGAGATGTCTAACACATTACCAATGCTTCTACTGCTTATTGGGCTCTTAGAAGACATTTAAGGATAATTAGAATTAAATATAGCCACCAGTCCTGGCTCTGTGTTCTGTGCTGTTAAACAAACTTTAGGGGACTATGGGACACTTTGCCACACCCAGGATAAGTGGACATCCAGCTAACTAAAACTATGCCAGGCTACGGATAGTGCTAGCCTAGAGAGGTTTAACCTGTACATAGAATGATTCTACATGGACAGTTTCATATAATAAGATTGAGACTAGAGTGGTTCCCAAGTGGCTTATTAGAAATCTACATGTATTACAAGGCAGTATCCTCCAAAAATTATTAAAAGATCACAAGACTTAATATCAGGTTAGCATAGATTAAGGGAAACTAGTATAGATGGACCAAAATTTGCCCAAACAACATTTTATTACAGGAAGCTCCTGCAAAAAAAAAAAAAAAAAAAAAAGAGTTAATTTGATGCTGTTTTTATTTGTAGTCTATGCCTTCACTTCGTGGCTGAAGGCGTGAGATGGGACAGAATTGTGATTATCAGAAAAGATAACAGGCAGGATATCAAGCTCTGAAGTAATCAAAGAGAAGTATACTTTGCAGTACAGGCAGTCCCCGAGTTACATGGATCCGACTTATGTCGGATCCCTACATACGAACGGGGCTTTTCTCGCCACGGAGGACGTGGTCGGCGGGACCGCCCAGAAGCGCCGCGGTCCCGCCGCCCGTGTCCTCCAGGGCAAGAAAAGCTGCTCTGCATCTCCCTGGTCTGCTGGGGAAAAGCTGCCCCGCGTCTCCCTGGCCGGCTGGGGGGGGGCCCCCCAGCAGACCAGGGAGACGCAGGTGGTGGGACCGCCGAGACGCGCCACTGTCCCGCCACCCGCGTCCTCCGCGGCTTTTCTCGCCGATGCCTGGGGTAGAGCAGCTGGGGCGCTGCTGGGTTAGTCCCGCAGCGCCGCTCCTCGGCGCTACTGGACCAACCCGGCAACACCCCAGCTGCTCTGCCCCAGGCGTCCCCAAGTCAGCTGCTGCTGAAACTGACCAGCGGCTGAATCTGGACACCAGTTCCGACTTACATACAAATTCAACTTAAGAACAAACCTACAGTCCCTATCTTGTATGTAACCCGGGGACTGCCTGTAGTAACTAGAGCTGGTGAATATCCGTGAATATTTTGAGTTTTAAAAAATTGTTATTCCAAGTTCATGTCCCTTTTATATTATTCCTGCAAATATCTGACCAAGGTTTTTCTAGTATGAAACAAATTTCAAAGTTGCATGCACAAATAGCTAAAGAAAACAAACCAGTCCTCTGGGCTTTAGTAGCATCAGAGTGTTGAGGAAACATTCTGTTTTTCTTTATCAGCAGATCTCTTTACCTAGTTCTTTATCAGCAGATCTCTCTAGTTTGTGCACCATTTCAGCTTTTCCAGTGCCTAACTAGTATAGATTTTTGGATATGAGAGCAAGCTAGTTGAAGCTCAACCCAGCTTATCTGAATGTGATGCAAGTTGGTTGAGGCAAGAAGCTAGGAGTTATTGCCTACCCCAATATTTAGGATAGGTAAGGTAGCTCCAATTCAGAGGTGTTTTTGGAATGCTGGTTGCTGTTGGAATTCCAAATAGCATTTTGAGCCATGGAAAGCTTCCTTCCTTAACATCACTTGCCATAATGACAATCTTCATTTCTCTCAAATGCAAAGCTTGGTTGACCTCCATTTTGGACTACACAACATGCTGTATGTGAACTGTCCACAAAGACAACTCAGAATATTCAGCTGATTCAGAATGGAGCAGCACAGCTGCTGAAGAGAAGATTTCTGTAGATAGTGCCTTACATTGGTGTTCAATTGATGGTAAAGTCTTCATATATACTTTAGGATGCTGACTGATCTTTAAAGACTCATTTATTTTTGGCTCTAACTACCCAAAAGATGCTCTTTTTCTCCACATGTGTTTCATTCCAACTATAGTTGTCAGATGAGACACTCAGGCTAATAGTACCTGAAGCTCTGTGGTGGGAATGAGATGTCTTCAGTGGACCACCTGCAACTCCAGAATTCACTTTCACCTGGGCCAGGTTTTAAAATTCATGGCTTAGTACAAAACCAACTTGTTTAATGTGGTCTTGCTGAAGGACTGCTGAAGACCTATTTATACTCTGAATTTTTATACAGTGAACCTTTGGAAATTTTAGTAAACTGCTTTCAAGCAATATATGTCTGGTGGTGACATTGTTCATTTTAAAAATGCCCACATTACCAATCATAAATTTGACTCTTAACATCATCACCAATTTAACTACATATTTACAATCCAGAAGGCTTTTCTAAATCACAAAGACATTTATGTTATGTTAAATATTGGTGCTAAACTGTTTGAGTGTGTCTGTAGAAAACTGTTGGATACACTACCTGTCCCTTCTCAAGAAATTGTATTAAAAGGCTGAGGGAGAGGGATGGGAGGATGCTGAGACTGAGCACACTAGAGATAGGTGGTGTGGGAAAAAGACCCTCTGTTGGATGAGAAACTGAGAGGAGTCATGGGAAGACTGAGGCTGGCCAGACAAGGAGGCTGAGACTAATCATCCATCATGGGAATGAAAAGGAGGCAGTACATCTGACAAAGAGCTATGATGCAGGTGGAGAATTAGGAGGGGGAGGGGTAGCATAGGGTGTGAAGCCAGTGGGATGGGGGACAGAAGGAAGAAACAGATTGGACAAGGAGCCAGAGGATGTAACTTGAACTGGCTGGGCAAGGAGATTTGGGAGAAGTTGGAATAAGAAGGCAGAACTAATAATGGCTGAGAGGAAAAGAAGAAATTAAGAGTAGTAGCGGAGGCTAGGACTCAAGACAGCAAGCTCAGGTGGAAAGATCTTCTAGATGGGCTGGACAAGGTGATTAGGATAGAGACTAGACTGGGACTGGTTGAAAAGAATGGGATGGAAGAGGTCAAGCTTGGGGAAAAACAGGGAGAAGAGAAGAAGTGTCTGTGTCTGCTACACCACACTCCCTTCTAAAGTCTGGAATAGATTCCCAAATTCCCAAGTCTCACTGTTCCTCTGCTGTCTGCAACTATTTGTGAACCCCACTTGCAAAGTGTGCCCACATACAGTATGACAACCTACTACTGCTTTCAGTTAAATGGCTAGGTTTGTCCACTAGCTCAAACAATTCTAATCTAGCCAGAGAACCCTGTGGGTGTCAGTATGATGTCACATGGTAAAATATGTGGGGTGAGGATTTTTCAGTTTCTTTTTTGCGTGTATTTTCCATGATTTAAGATCGTAAAAGCTAGGAAATAAGAATTTCAGATTAACTGTGCGATCCAATTTTGGTCACAGTGGGTGTGTCTAAACTACATGGCTCCATCGATGGAGCCATGTAGTTTAGACACACCCAGTGTATAATTGACTGTTTTTCAAATCCTGGATTAAAATGTGTATCCACACACTTTAGGTATATGCTAACAATCATCAGTTAATGGATGTTATATTCATGCTCTGCATGCTTTACCTCATTTGTGTTGTGCAGCAAAGTTATAATGTAAGCACTGTTGCTTCTTAGAATGCCTATAATAGAAATTTTCTTTTGACGTGCTACTTTCCTTTATCCTTTGATAAAGTACATAATCAGTTACGTTTAAATCCACTGAAGTTTGGCTCTCTTACCATTGTGCTTTGGTATTAACTCATATTAAGATCATTGTAATCTTTTATTCAATTTGTTTAAAGGAAACTTAAAATCTTGCACTGATTGTGCTAGACTCTAGCTAAGCCATCTGAGGTGATGGGAAGCTTTAACCTCTGAGGAGCACTTTAGAGCTTTTTGCTTTTCTTACAATAATATTAACTGTTGTTTGCTCCCTTACTGTTGAACTGTATTGACATACTCTATAGCTGTCATTAATATGTAACTGAAGTTAGGCAGGGCTTATAGTACTAACTTCTGTGTCCTAATAATACTCGGAGTACTCTGAAACCTGGGTCACTAAACTTTAATGTCAAATTCTGAATCTTGTGCTAAAGACTTTCGTGCTTTGGCCTCATTTTTTCAATGAGCTTTGGGCTAACTTTGGTGGGTCTCTGTGCGGGTCCTGAATCCTGTGTAGCATCTATTGCAGGATCAGGGCCTTGGTTTTCATCTCAAATTTGAAAAATTCACACCCCATCTGACACTTAGCGTCTTTTTTTATGTTAATAACATCACATAGGTTTTTAAGCCATAGCATACTTTTAGCAGGCAACTTCAATTAGTTGTGTGACCTATTGAAGTCCACAAGACATTTTTATGGGGGATCTGCAGATTTAGGGGTATGCTTATGGGGAATGGACTTGGGGACAACACTCTCCACTGCCTTATTCACCTAATTGGTGTGTGCATCCTTGTCTGGGTCTTTTGCACAGTAATTATTTTCAGACATATGCATGATGGTCTTAATCAGTTTTATGTAGAGTTAAAAAGCACTTATTTAATAAAAAAAATCAATCTTACGAAAAATTATGGTATTAGTCAATTGGAGACATTGGCTTTTTATATATAATAATTTGGAAATCTGAATTACTTACAAAGAAAAAAACTATTTCTAGTATATATGTGTATTGATAATGTTGCACTGAATCTTTCAGAGCATCTTTTATGACAAAGACTGTGCAGTATCAAAACGAGTTGCATAAATTCCTAATCTGGGATACAGCTGGACAGGAACGAGTAAGTAGAGATATTGTTTTTCTCCTTAGTTTGTAAAGTCCTTTTGTAATAAAAATCTGTAAATTATGCGTGTTAATGTTTGTTTTCACACACGATTCTTTCAAACTATAGTGGAGACAAACCCATGATAATTTATTTAATCAAATTTTAATCAAAATTTTATCTTTCACCTTAGTTATTTGACTCCCCTAAGAAAAGAAATCATTAGAAAATGTGAAGATAACGTATTTATATAACATCTTTATAGTACTGGAAAGGTTTACTGAGTACAGTATTATGAGAAGGTTATTGACAAATTAGAAAAGGAACAGCTGAGGAGAATATAGGTAAGAGGGGGGCTATTACTATGAAGAGAGATTAAGAAAAACAGTATCCATCACAAAAAAAGATTTGTAAGGTGATACGTTTTGGCAGTAATTCACTTCGCAGAAGCATTTCTGTTTGGTGTTGAACATTTCTATGCAACACTGCTCACTCCAGTTGAATTGCACAAGCTAAAACTCTTATTCTGCAAATGTATGTACTTATGTAGCTTTACTGATATGAGCTGTGCCATCATCTTCAATATGGTAACTAATGATAGAATAAAATTATATAGACATTTAAGTGTCTGCGTGATTGAGACATTTAAGTGTCTGCGTGTTCTATGCTGGATTTGAAACAACAATATTGGAGGAATTTCATTTTATTTTATTTTTCATTTCTAATCTGATTATTTTAGAAGCACATGACTGGAATTTTCTCATTTGAAATACAAATTTTAACCTGATCTTTCCAGAAGAAAAAACTTGATGGCTACTTCTGCGACACACACACCTTTGAGGGGATGCAACAAACCTAAATAAACTAAAATGAACTAGAGAGTTGGAGGAAATGTCTTTATGCTGCATACCTTGCTCGTGAAGTACAGGCAGCAACAAAAGCTGCAATTATGTATAAAGCTTCATAAACATGCCTGAAGCTATTTGGCAAAGGACTTTCATTATATGTTAGTTTCAGTCTGTTCATTTGAATCCTATTTGAAACCAATAGATAATGTAGTATGCAGAATACAAAATAGGGCAATCTGTGAGGAAGTATATCTGTAAATGGCTGACAACTGGTTCTGTTGGCTTTTATAAAGTTCATGTTTCCTCTTTTCTATTTTTGTGCCTGGAGTAACGCCCTTTTCTTTTTGCCATGTAAGCTGTAGACATCTTCCTCCGCACCAAGAGGGTAAGGAGTTATCTTGGGGGAGAATGTACATCTCAAGACTACAGCAATGTAGGAAAAAGACTCTGGAGGGTTCATAAGAAGGTGCCAGTGTCACCTTAGTTCCTTTACCAAACCTCCACTAAAGCGTGCTCCTGACAGCAGCTGCTGTATCTACAAGTTCACCTTCACCTGCACATCCTCATTTTCCTTTCCCTCACCAGCGCCCCACACAAAATATATGTTTATATTTAAAGGCAGAGTTCCTTTCCAAATGTTTCCTTCCACACTTCCAAGTAGGAATGTAATAGTATAATCAATTAACCAAGAAGCAAAAGCTTATAGGTTAGCACTATAGACTTCATGCATTTTTCCCCCCTTGCCAGCAAATTTTTTAGCAGGCCATCCAGCAGCCCGGCTAAGTCCTGGCTTGCCTCAGGTCTGGGACGTACCCCCACTGCAGCTCTGCATTTAATGTCGCACAGAGTGCTGCCACTCCACACTGATGCCTTTGTATCTGGGGCAACAAGGTGAGGCAACAGGCAACTGGTCTGCAAGGGGAGCTGGTTTTTAAACTGGCTCCCCTCTGGACCAGCTCCCACCCGGCACCCCATTCTGCTGCCTCTAATACAGAGGCAGCAGCATGGAGTGGCAGGGGGCTCCTCAGAAATGGGGTCGGTGCACACTGGAATAGACTAGTAAACGATAAAACATTCTCAAGGTTAATCAACTACTCAATTAACCAATATTTAACATCCCTACTTCCAAGCGATCAAAAACATGAAAGCAATAATACTTCGTAGCAATTCAGTCAAATACAGACAGACTCCCATGTAAGCGCAGGTCACTTGCTAATAACTCAGTTTCTCAGTAGTGGCTTCTGGTGTAAGAGCAAAACTGACTTGTGCATTAGGGGACATATGTGGTGCTCCTAAATTTTGTTGTCCCAGGAAAGAGAATCTGACCAAGGTTAGTAGTCTATTTAGTTTTTCCTGGTTGCGCATCAGTCAAATGGCGCAGCCACTAGAACAGCCACCATGGTAAACTTTCAGGCTACGTCTAGACTACAGGCATCTTTTAGAAGAAGCTTTTTTGGAAGAGAGCTTCCGAAAAAACGTCTTCTGAAAGAGAGCATTCACACTGCAAAAGTGCATCGAAAAAGTGATCTGCTTTTTTGAGAGGGTGTCCAGACTGAATGGACGCTCTCTTGCATGTTAGCTGTGATTGCTATGGACAGTATGGCCAACTAGATACCTGTGCTTTTTCCTCTTTCCTCTTCTTCCGAAAGAACTCCCTTTTCCCCATCCACACACGCCTTTTTGCGAAAGAGCTCTTTTGCAAAAAGGCTTCTTTCTCCTAGAATGAGGATTACCAATGCCGGAAAAACCCCTCTGTTCTTTCGATTTTCTTTTGGAAGAATGAAATTGCAGTGTGGACGTTCCTCAAGTTTTGTCGGAAAAACAGCCATTTTTCTGACGAAACTCTGTAGTGTAGACTCCTCATCCTAACTTCATGTGAGTTGTAGGACTCTTTAATCCAATATTTGACTTTATATCCAGAACTAAATGTGGTATTGGATTTTATACCAAGTTTTCAGTGATTGTAATACCGCTCTTATAATAAACTACCCTATTAATCACTTGTGCATCTTCTGCTTATACAAGATACATATACTAACAGGAAATTACATTCTATTTAATTTGGAGTACATATTGCTTAATTTGGACAATGCTTACAGGCTCAAAAGACTAAGTCTTGTAAGGATTAAAGAGATAGTAATGATGTGATGAATCATAGAACTAGGATTTATTCATACTTAAGCACAGTTGCAACATTTTTTCTGTGTTGTTTTTCAGTACTGGTACTATGGGGTTTTTTGTTTTTTTTGTTTTTTCAACTTTACTAAAGTATTTGTACTGCTGCTAGATATAACGTCTATTCACTTTAACACAGCTGGCTATGAACTTTCAAAAAAAAATCAGTGTGGAGAAAATCTTACTTTGTACAGCAAGGGAACTCAGTACGTCTTAAAATGAAGGGTCAGGAACATTGGTTGGGGATGGACCAAGTACAGAAAGGACTTGTAGAATCTGCTACTCAGTTCCATTAGTGAATCTCTTGCCCTGAAACTTCCATGACAGTTTTCTGTTGCTGGGCCATCTTCAGCAGAAATTGTAAAGTGTGTAATGACTGTTGTAGTTTGAATAAATAATAGGCTTTCTCAGGTTTACCAAGAACTGGCATCAAATCACATTTGAACTGAGCCATCAGTGTTAAAACACGGTTACAGTTGTCTATAATATGAAACATTGAGTTCCCAACCAGTATCATTTGCTGTTCCCCATGTTTTATAACAATGCACTTCCAAGGCTCGTTAATAAGCAGTTCTTTTTGCAGCAGGTTGCACAACTCATTGCCATTATGAACACCTTGATTAACAACATCATTTATAAGCTGGAATACAATATTTAATTTGTTTTATTTTACATGGAGGGGGGAGTATCAAGGACTTTAGAAATGTAGATTCTATGACTAATGCTGTGTTTGTTGTTAAGCAGTTTCATTCGAGTTGGGTGTATTTCTATGGGCAGTCAGATCAAACTTTTTAAATAAGTCAGAGGATCACTGACTGCATTTAAAGTATGTCTTAACTGGCATTGTAATACTTTAAAATATCACAGGTGTCTGTTTCCATTATTACAAATAATGGCCAGCCCTAGTATTTAAAAAAGCAACAGGTACATTTTCAGTCAAGAAATTTTTCCCCCTCCTTTTTTTCCCCTCTCTCATCCTATTCTCTATTTCAGTTATGAATTCTAGAACTGTATTTCCAATAAGTTCTAATGTCTTGGAGCCCAAATTCAGAAAAACGAGCACTAATTAAGGCTAACTGGCATTTCCCCTCCCCCAGTCCATATTTATTTGCTCTATTTCTCTCAGTGACATAGTTTGCATTTCTGTATTCATCCTGATAAAAGCTTTCATTTTGGATTTCATTCCACTTAAATTTAGCACTTCATTTGTGGCACTTCTGCTCAAGTGCCAGAAGTAACTATTTATTTCTCTTTCATTGACTAAAGTTAGTATCAATCTGCCTTCAACCATTATGGAGTTTTGGCTATTTGTCTGTGCTGCCAAATTCTTGTGATTATACTGACACTCACTGGTCTGTGTCAAAGCTCAAAACACAGTTGGGCTGCAGAGGTAGGAAGTTGAACTGTGTGAACAGACAGCTGAAATAAAATGTAGTTTCTGGTAACATCTGTTTTGTTAAAGGGAAAATGTTTTTTTTAATTGCTGACTATTCCTAACTAAGAAAAGAAATCAATGTGTTAGCAGGCAGGAAATGAGTAATACAAGATCATCAAGTGAAAGTTGGATTTTTCCCAATATAAATAGACATAAAAAAGCCAGGTAGTCAAATAGTCCAAGCAATGGTTTTAAAATATGTTTCCCATTACATCTAGTATATATTTTAGAGAGTTTTTGCCTTTGTTTGATCATGAACACTTCCTAAATGGTAAAAGTTAGGACCATCAAATTCGGTATGCAAATTCTGCTTATCATAACTTAAAGAAACATAAGGTTTTGGTTGTGCCAGGAAAACGGCATGTGCCTGGAATAGGATTGCTTCTCATAAACACAAACAGAAAAGAGAGACAATCACCAAATCAAGTACAGTCCTCAAAATTGACATAACTGAACAAATGTTGAAAGAGACTGAACTAAGATGAGCCAGAAAAATAGAATGAATCCGGAATAGGATTGCTTCTTAATAAAACTTAGGGAAAAGAGATAAAAACAGAGAAATTCGGAGTAGTACTCTGATTTAGTTGTGCTAAATAAAGTCTTAAAGTTTGAAAACTAGAAGAAAATGATATTGCAAACCAAATTGACAATAGTCCTTTTTTATCAAATCATAGAGAATTATAAGAATTTATAGAAATGAAAAAACAAAATACATTTGATGGAATTCCTTCATTTATGGAGCCAACCAGCACCGGGTAAATCTGCTAGTTCTAAGTATTTATTGGAGGAATGGGAGAAATACTCTCTTCTTGGATGGGTTGTGTGCATCCCACATTTTCTGCCTCCCACCTCTCAAAAATTTATTTTCATTCTGTGACCTTTGTGTAAAGGCTTATTCTCAAAAGAAGAATTTTGTGAGACACATCTAAATAGTCTGGAATTTTGCTTTATAACAAAGGAGACTTTTAGGAAGAATAGTACTGCTCTTACTTGAATTATATTAACCAAAAGAAAACTACTATTTTATTAAAACCTAATAAGTCTTTGTGAAAAGTAAACTGTCTCCATGATTTGTATTTCTATATATTTCTTAGTAAGTAGTAAATAGTTTACATAGAGCAATACATCGTACCTTCTACATGTCAGTTAATTATTCTGTTCTTCCACTGATACTTCAGAGTGCTACGTGAGCTGTTTTCATTTTCTTAGAAAAATTTCTGAATACGGCATCTAAAACAGTAGTCTTTCTATAGTGCCAAGCATGTGCTAAACCACTGCAGTTTTTTATGGAGTCAAAAAGCAAATAGCATTCATTCAAGGAGAGTGGCTTATTTGTGTACTTGCAGGCTCATTTAGATTTGTAGCAATTGTCTGTTGCCAAATCCTAAAATTTCTAGCATGTCTTATGATACTTGGTGTATTTCCTAAACCCTTTGCTTCAAGGGTCAGGTGACTGAGACTCACTCGGCTTTTAATTTTTTTTCCCCCTAACTCTTTTGTTTGAAGGTGAAAAACTTGAGAACATTAATACTAAATACCAAAAGATAAACAAAAAAGAACACTGCATTCTTTTAAGCCATTCTCATAACATTTTGGATTGATGGTAATGTACACTGGTTCTTTTTACTTTTTCTGCTGTGGACATGAGTATTTCAGAAAGGAAGAAATGTACAAGTTGCACCTCTATAAACCAGGACTCTCAGGTCTGGCAACATCCATGGTCCAGCAGGATCGTGGATGCTCCAGGATCACAGAGTTCCAGTGTGCTTCAGGGAGGGAGGGAAGCCCGGCATGATGCAGTGGAGGGCCAGGAATCTCAGTGGGGCAGCCCAGTTGGGCTGACAGGGTGTGGGGGAGGGAGAGTGGGAAGCTTGGTGAGGCAGCAGGGCAGAGGGTAGGGCCGGCAGCAGTGTGGCTACAAATGATCTCCCCTGATCCAGCAAAATCCCTCATTTGGGACCAGTTAGGTCCCAAGGGTGCCGGAAATTAGGCATATATACTGTGTGTATTGTGTCTGTGTATAAATACCTTTTTTAATTAGTGGCACATAGAATTATAGAGCTGGAAGAGACCTCAGCAGGTCGTCAAGTCCATCCCCCTGCCCAAGGCAGGACCAATCCCAACTAAATCATCCCAGCCAGGGCTTTGTCAAGCTGAGACTTAAAAACTTCTAGGGATGAAGATTCCACCACCTCCCTAGGTAACCCATTCCAGTGCTTCACCACCCTCCTAGTGAAATAGTTTTTCCTAATGTCCAACCTAGACCTCCCCCACTATAAGTTGAGACCATTGCTCCTTGTTCTGCCATTCGTCACTACTGTGAACATTTCATACCTCACATCTACATTAGGCTTCCTTCTGTAATTTGACCTTTGCAACCTGGCTCTTCTGAGGACTATGAACTAGAGACCAAGAAAGCATGAGGTCCAAGTACTGTATTTTGCTTCATGTGTTTATGGCATTCTATATTGCCCCCTTATAATCTTTCTTTAAAAACCCTCTCTCAAATATGATCATGCATTGCTAGAAGACTCAGCAGTGTACTTCAATGGAAGCAGCCCTCTTCTTCTTTGTACTAGGTCTTGCTTTCCCTGAAGCTGAGTTTAGAGACAGAAATCCTTGGAGCATCATTCCACTCTTAAATGAGGTTGTCGGTATTGCCTGAATAGCAACTATAAAATGGAGTTCTTTAACAAGAGCACTCTTGGAGGGACAGAGTGGTTTACAAGTTTTAAATTATCATCCTATTCTACTTTCTTCTGGGAGTTAAACCACTTCTTTAGCAACTTTAATCTAAACTCAAATTTTGTTTGTCATCATTTGGCTTTATTATATTAATTCGCTAACCAATGAATATTTTTGGGTGCCAGTAGTATAAGATTACTTTGGCTAAAAATGTTTCACATGAAGTATAGCCTACTGGCAATATCTTTGTAAATTTGAAGATACATTTTCCATTAACCTAAACTCTTTGAATATATAAGTCTTAGAGGGGTAAGCATGTTAGTCTGTAACTTTAAAAAAAGAGTAGTCCTATAGTCTTAGAGGCTACGAAAAATATACATATATAGTATCATGTGCTATTGATGAGACCGTGTCTTTTGTCCACGAAAGCTTGTGATTCATTCTCTCTCTCTCTCTCTCTGTGTGTGTGTGTGTGTGTGTGTGTGTGTGTGTGTGTGTGTGTGTGTGTGTGTGTGTGTGTGTGTGTGTGTGTGTGTGTAAATAATTTATTTATATCTATTAGTCTCTAAGGTGTTATATGACTACTCATTCTTTTCATATATGAGAGCAGTGAAAATTGGATTAACTGGTCAATAAGCCACATGATGTATGGCACAGCATTAAATCCATTCTATATGATGTTTCTCCCTGCAGTTCCGTGCTTTAGCACCAATGTATTACCGAGGCTCAGCAGCAGCTATTATAGTTTATGACATCACAAAAGAGGTAAGAGGAGACGGTTTGTAATGTAGTTCTATGCTCACTCACGTATGTTTTATTTGGCCAGTTTGAATCTTAACTCGGTCTCCTTTCTCCACACCAGGAAACCTTCTCAACATTAAAGAACTGGGTGAAAGAACTTCGACAACATGGACCTCCAAACATTGTTGTAGCTATTGCAGGAAATAAGTGTGACCTTAATGATGTAAGGTAAATTGATGGCAGTCCAGTGCAGGTGTAAGTTCAGATACAAAGTAATGATACTAAATATTTTTGGAAAGATTAAAAGATTTGCCAAGCCCTGAAGGATATACAGTAATTTTAAAAGTGCAGGTCTTTTTAAAAACCAGTACAAGATGTCTAGCCCATATTACAAAGGTTTGTGATGTCTGTCTGCAACTCTTCATCTTATTAACAGATGCTAATCTTTCTAGGAAAAGTTAAGTGGGTTTTTGCCAATTTGCTGGTTCAGGTGCCTTGTTATCCTCACCAAAATAATAGTGTGTGGGAGCTGCTCTGGGGCAAGTGGGTCTAGAACATAAGATGAAGTCCTGAGGAAGGAATTCTGGAGCCAGTCAAATCTTGGAAAAGGCTTGAATTCAGTTTCTTTATTATTGATGTCTTGGCCAATGAAGCCAAACACCAAAAAGGGATTGAGTTTAGATTCTGTGTAGTGTGAACTCTTTTCAGGGCATGTTGGGAAAGCACTTGTTCACATACCTCTCCTTTGTTTATATTTTATTACCGCAGCTGGGGTGTCAGGTAAAACATGCAGATGCATTTTTAAGGAGACATTGGAAAGTTAATTGACATTGATTTGAAGGGAGATAGGACTGCAAAATTCAATCACTGGCATTTTTAAAAACACTTAAATTTCAGTTATCTAATGAACACCAATATAAAGCTTTAAGAAACAGACTATAAAGGATTAATTGATATGAAGCAAATGACTTCAGAGCTAAATATTTGTAAAACAAATACTATGTGCTGCATAGTCATTCTTGGTGTTGGTGAAGCCAAACATAATTCTGTCCCTTCTGACAGTTTGGGGCCAGATAACACCACCATAAGTTGTGCACACAATACTTCCCATTGAAACTGATGAGTGTTCAGGCCCCTGAACTTTAATCAGTGTAGTACTTTAAATGCTGATATCTAAATCTATGATTTAGTATAACTTTTGGCAGACCGACTTAGGACCTTTGCTCCCATATGCAGTGTACTTGCCATTCTAGAAATTTCAGTTTTATTGACTGGGATCACAACTTTAAGATACAAACTATTTAAATCTACATGTGAAAATGACTTTGTGGCTTAAAGAATCCTTACACTTTACTGTCAGTCACATTGTAACTAAAGTTGCACAAGCAGGGGCGGTCTGTGTGTGTGTGTGTGTGTGTGTGTGTGTGTGTGTGTGTGTGTGTGTGTGTGTGTGTGTGTGTGTGTGTGTGTGTGTGTGTGTGTGTGTAAATAATTTATTTATATCTATTAGTCTCTAAGGTGTTATATGACTACTCATTCTTTTCATATATGAGAGCAGTGAAAATTGGATTAACTGGTCAATAAGCCACATGATGTATGGCACAGCATTAAATCCATTCTATATGATGTTTCTCCCTGCAGTTCCGTGCTTTAGCACCAATGTATTACCGAGGCTCAGCAGCAGCTATTATAGTTTATGACATCACAAAAGAGGTAAGAGGAGACGGTTTGTAATGTAGTTCTATGCTCACTCACGTATGTTTTATTTGGCCAGTTTGAATCTTAACTCGGTCTCCTTTCTCCACACCAGGAAACCTTCTCAACATTAAAGAACTGGGTGAAAGAACTTCGACAACATGGACCTCCAAACATTGTTGTAGCTATTGCAGGAAATAAGTGTGACCTTAATGATGTAAGGTAAATTGATGGCAGTCCAGTGCAGGTGTAAGTTCAGATACAAAGTAATGATACTAAATATTTTTGGAAAGATTAAAAGATTTGCCAAGCCCTGAAGGATATACAGTAATTTTAAAAGTGCAGGTCTTTTTAAAAACCAGTACAAGATGTCTAGCCCATATTACAAAGGTTTGTGATGTCTGTCTGCAACTCTTCATCTTATTAACAGATGCTAATCTTTCTAGGAAAAGTTAAGTGGGTTTTTGCCAATTTGCTGGTTCAGGTGCCTTGTTATCCTCACCAAAATAATAGTGTGTGGGAGCTGCTCTGGGGCAAGTGGGTCTAGAACATAAGATGAAGTCCTGAGGAAGGAATTCTGGAGCCAGTCAAATCTTGGAAAAGGCTTGAATTCAGTTTCTTTATTATTGATGTCTTGGCCAATGAAGCCAAACACCAAAAAGGGATTGAGTTTAGATTCTGTGTAGTGTGAACTCTTTTCAGGGCATGTTGGGAAAGCACTTGTTCACATACCTCTCCTTTGTTTATATTTTATTACCGCAGCTGGGGTGTCAGGTAAAACATGCAGATGCATTTTTAAGGAGACATTGGAAAGTTAATTGACATTGATTTGAAGGGAGATAGGACTGCAAAATTCAATCACTGGCATTTTTAAAAACACTTAAATTTCAGTTATCTAATGAACACCAATATAAAGCTTTAAGAAACAGACTATAAAGGATTAATTGATATGAAGCAAATGACTTCAGAGCTAAATATTTGTAAAACAAATACTATGTGCTGCATAGTCATTCTTGGTGTTGGTGAAGCCAAACATAATTCTGTCCCTTCTGACAGTTTGGGGCCAGATAACACCACCATAAGTTGTGCACACAATACTTCCCATTGAAACTGATGAGTGTTCAGGCCCCTGAACTTTAATCAGTGTAGTACTTTAAATGCTGATATCTAAATCTATGATTTAGTATAACTTTTGGCAGACCGACTTAGGACCTTTGCTCCCATATGCAGTGTACTTGCCATTCTAGAAATTTCAGTTTTATTGACTGGGATCACAACTTTAAGATACAAACTATTTAAATCTACATGTGAAAATGACTTTGTGGCTTAAAGAATCCTTACACTTTACTGTCAGTCACATTGTAACTAAAGTTGCACAAGCAGGGGCGGATATAGGGCAGGGCGATCGGGGTGGCCGCCTCGGGCCCTGCGCTTCAAGAAGCCCCGCGCATGCGCCGTGGCAAAGGGGGGCCCTGCGAAATTGTGCTGCCCTGGGTCCCGCAAAATGGTCATCTGCCCCTGTGCACAAGAGTTTCCATTATATTTGCCCTTGCTTTAATTCCATTTTTCACTGTAATTTTGTTTGGTATCTTCCCCTGGGGAAGTAGTCTCTTAAAGCCTCCAGTTGGTGTTTTTTTGTTGTTGTTGTTGTTGCTGGAGTAGATGTGTTTTCCGGGGCAGGAGTGGGACTATTGTTCACTATATTTTATAAAACACAGACAATTTGTAAACCGTTGAATATTAAACTTGGACCATGAAGTCCTTTATGAGAAGCACATCCTTGACCAATTTTAGAGAAAAAAAATTGTTAGAAATCGATAAGTTATATTTTGAAAATTGTACTGTGTGTTAACTAGGAATGTAAAAAATAAAAGAAAACAGTAACCGTGTAACCATTAAAAATCCTATCAGTTACATGGTTAACCGTTTTACCTAGGAGGGATTAGAGAGGGAAGGACCATTGCCACTCTTAGGGAGCCGGCTGTCCCATGCTGCAGGCTCTGCAAACTCTACTCCCAGGGTGCTGTCTTTCCTCCCAGGGAGTCGGCTGCCCAACATTGCGAGCTCTCCAAACTTCATTCCCAGGTGTCGGATAGCCAGTTAAATCTTACATCCCTAGTATTGACAATAGACAGTTTCACTAACTCTGAAAGTTTGCATTGTTTTCAGGAGGTCGAGAGCATGCATGTTTCCCTGAATTGTGTACTTCTCAGTGCATGTAGGTAACTGCTGATTTAGAGCCGGACTAAGAAGAAAGCCAACACATTTGAGAGCATTTAATTCTGGCAAGGAACATTTTCCCCCTTGTTTTAAAATTAAAGCCATCTGACTGCAAAAATAGTAATGTGACATCAGTAGTTTCCTAGTTAGCTTTAGTTTCCTGACCTCTCAGAGCAAAATTAATTTAAATGTATTTTCTACCCGCATTTACTGTAAATGTGAAGCATGACATTAGTGTTAAATATCTACCATGAAATACATAGGATGGGCAACATGGAATAGCTTTGATTCCTATGGGAACCTTTTCATTTCCTGTCTCTTTTGTCTGTATAAGCTGAATGTTTTAAACTCTGCTAACACTGTTCTGTACAGTGTTTGCCAGATATTAGGATATGTAAGCAACATCTGGATTCCTACTGAATGAGGTAGATATTAGAAGTAATAAGAGGTTTTAGATAATTTGAGCCATTTTTCAGAAAATAAAGTCTCCTTCCCTCCTTTAAGAAGCAAACACATCCATATTTTCCAGAAAGGAAAATTATGGTGGCTGTTGAATTTATATGATGGTGCTATACAAATACTATTGTCCAGGGCATACTATTGTCTGTTATTAGGGGGCAGGTAATAGGGATGTAAGTGACTAATCAACTAACCAATAAGCAGCAGTTGATTGGTTAGCAATATTGACTAGTAACATTTCCCCCCATGTACCCAGCTGCAGCTCTGCAATATTAAGAGACTTGCCAGCCAGCGCACAAAGACACCCGCTCAGTTCCTGCTCCTGCTGTTGATGGGTCATCCTGCCCAACCTCCCCTGCTGCCACTCTGCATTACATGAGGGCTGACTCATCACCCTCTGGAGCAGGGGCTGAACTGGTGTCTTCGTGCGCTTGCTCACCTGTCCCTTGTAATGCAGAGGGGCAGCAGGTGAAGTTATGCAGGGACCTGGCGCAAGCCAGACTGAGCGCTATCTGGCGATCCTTATTGACTAATCGATTAGTTGATTTAAAAAAATCTATTGACTACTTGATTAGGAAAGTAACTGCATTTTAACATCCTTAGTAGATAAAAGAAGTAGTAGATGAAATTGAGAATAAGAATTTACCTGTCCATGAGAAAATAATGGGATGCCAAACAATTGACACTAAAGCACTTCTTGAAATTACTGTTGAGTAGCCAGCTAATTTTCTAAAATTGGGATAATTAATGTTTGTTTTGTTCACAATATTTTCTTTCCCTTTTAGAGAAGTCATGGAAAAGGATGCTAAAGATTATGCAGATTCCATCCACGCCGTATTTGTAGAGACCAGTGCTAAAAATGCAATTAACATAAATGAACTCTTTATAGAAATTAGTAAGTACTTCTTTAGTTAACACCTTTTTCTCTGATGGAAACCTGAGCAGAAACTTGACTTCTACATTAGTTTGAAGTTCTATTTTGCTGAGAGTACTGGGTTCATATTTGTCACCACTTGATAGAGATACAAGCTTGCAAAATGATCTGTTGGTTTCTGGTCCTCCTCTGACCTCTAAAAGTTTCTGCCTTGAGATTCTAAAACTACTATGATGATCCACACCATGGATAAATAGCAAGCAGGTCACTGAAGTCATAAAAGTCAGTGTCATTTTACCCTGTCTGTTAGTGAATGTTTCAATTAGTAGTTCAAGGTCACTGAAGGATGAGGGAAGGAAATGAATGAGCCTACACAAATGCAAAACCTACACAAATGCAAAAGGGGAAATAGTATTTCCAATCAGAGTACTGCATCTAGATTTGATTAGGGTAATGTCTTACCCAATGCATAATTGGCTAATGGGGAGTAGTAATTGTGTAATTATGGCACACCAATGACTAAATCTAATTAAAAAACCAAAACAAAACACATTTTTGTGTGGATTCTCTTTAGGAAATTTTTGATTACCCTGTCACTCAATTAGACCACAAATAATGTTTCCACATTATTCCAAATTGACTTTTACGTTGAAGAAATGCAAACAGTACCCACAAGGTAATACAGTGCAGTACTTCACTCTTATGTAGTGAGGATTTGAGTTGTCATTCAGATGGCTATGATAACAGTGAGCACTTACATGCGAATATCTCCTTTAGCTTTGTCCTGAGTCAAGTAAACAGTATAAAGTTAGAGGAGATCCTTTCATAGACACATCACAGCTATCAAAGCTTGTACAGCTAATTACTTTTTTTTTTACTTTAAAGTAAAAAAAAATTCAATTTACTTTTTTAAAGTTTAAAAAAAATATTTTAACTGCTACTGAGGTTCTTTTATGATTATTTAAATAGGAAGGTATTTTTCTTGTGCATTTAGGACAGCAATGGGCAACGAAGACCAATGAATGAGGCGTGTGAGTGACCCTCCTTCATCTCAGTAGGCCACAAGATTGAAATCCAGTGGTGGCCAAACGTGTGGCCCATTAGGTTCCACCTGCAGCCTGCACTGCCCCTTTTCCACATGCCTCTTATGCACTGGGAAGCTGAAGCCCTGCACTTACCTACTCCTTCCTCTCCCTCCCAGAACTTTTGGAGGGCCATGAATCTGCTGATTTGGGCTCCACCTCTGCTTCTCCCCTTTCCTCCTAGAGCTTGAACACCGCAAATCATCTGATTCAGACCCTTCAAAAGTGCTGGGAGGGAGGAGGAATGAGTAAGTGCAGGGCTCCAGTGCACCTGGAGGCATTGGGGAACGGGTAAGAGGGGGGAACGCAGCTGGCAACCCAATGGGCTGCAGGTTGCCCTCCACTGATTTAGGGTATTGCTCTATAGTTGATTTTTGAATACATTTTGATGCTTGAAAAATACCAAATCAGATCATGTTGTTTAAACATTAAGCTTAGAGCTAATACACCCCCCCTCAGGCACTTTTACCCAGAGAAAAGGGGCCAGAGTAGGGGTGAGGAGTCCTAAAATCTCCATATTTGTTCAGGGAAGAAGGAAACCTGCCCTTCTGAGCGGCTGTCTCAGAAGCACAATCCATTGAGTAAATGCTTTTGCAGATATGAGATGCTCTGTAAAAATAGTTACAATAATTAATGTAAATCTTACTATAAACTTTTTTTCCTCTGTATAGGTCGTAGAATTCCATCAACTGATACCAATCCCCCATCTAGCAGTAAGGGCTTCAAACTTAGAAGACAGCCTTCAGTGACAAAACCCCGCTGTTGTTGACGGATACTTTAGCAAATCAGACTTGTTTTGAAAGTAGGTGGTCTTGGTAGCGAATGGTTTATGTTGGGTATATATTATTGGTCTTAGATACTTATCTGCCTGATGTTCATACTTCAAGGTCCCACAAAAATGGACCAGCTCATCTGACAGCTCCCAGAAGACACCGCAGTCATGATAACGTGGGCCTATTTACTTACAACATGTATAGTGTCTCCTGTATTCAAAGGGAATCCATCGTCAGTTCTTTGGCCTTCCTTGAAAGGATAGTCAATATGTAGATGGCAGGACTGAAATGTTTAATAATTTTGTAATCAAGATTATATGTAATGTTTTGTAAAAGGGAAATGAGCACTTTCGTGGTTCAGAGGGATGAGGAAGGGGGAGGAAACAGCCATGTTGGAAATTGTGATTTTAATCATAAGGCTATTCTGCTACCCTTTCAATTGCTATAATGAATATTATTTTAAATATAATTGTAGCTAATTCAAAGTACAGTGAGGGAATTGGTTGTAGATGGCTTACAGAATAAGTTACTGATAAAAATGAGCAAATCAGCCCATCTGGTCCCCACATCCCACTTGCACTTTTTATTTAAAGGTATTATGAACAAACAAGCAAAGAATTTTAGACTATAGACAATCTTATTTTTTTCATGCTGGCTTAACCATTTAATGGCATACTGATACATTTATAAGCACCTATTTGTTTTCTGTAAACATTTTTACGATTAAAAATGGTGGTGGAAAAGAACCTAGCTGAAACTCCTTCTAAATTTAAACTTGAGCATGACTGACTGACACCAGATGCCATCTAGAGTTCTAGTAAGGCTTTCTTTTTTTGGGCAATGCTTTTTATTGCTTCGCTTATGTAAAGTTTTTGTGCTATATTTATGAGACCAGTGCCTAAAGTATTATAAATTATGTAAAAGCAGTTGAGAAATCTAGCTTTCTTCAGTCTTTCCATTCCACACCCATGGATAGAGTCCCTGGGGATCTCCAAAAATTCTGTCTCTGCACATGAGGTCTTATATTGCAGTCAGTGACCCTGCCAGAAGGCTGGATGATGCTCCCGTCCTGTCACCTCTGCATTTCTGCTTGGAAATGGCTGGTAGGTGTTGCTGTTGGTGAAGCATGTGGCTTGTTGATTCAGCAGATCACCCAGTTCTTGCTGGCTGTGGAACAAAAATACAAACAGGAAACCAAATGCAAGGCATGTATGGTAGCGTAGATCGTTACCTCTTGATTCCAGGGTCTAGCCCAAATTATCATTTTTAACTACTTGGCATTTTTTAAGTGAATCAGCTTTTAGCTTTGTTACATTGTTTTTCTTACATTTTATATTAAACTATAAATTGACCTTATCCTATTATGCTATTTTCATTATTTATTTTTAGTTTCCTCCGGAGCTAGTGGGAACTTCATATTTTTTAAAGGAAGAGCCTAATAAAGTATTTTAAATATTTGAATTTAAGCTTTGATATTGAAATTAAAGCCATGTCGGTGATATTTGTTCCTAATTTGTAATTTGCCATTCCATAATTTTAAATATTTTAGCTGAAGGAAATTTCAAAGAATAAGTAGGATATTAAACAGCTTCTACTTCAGATTAAATTTATATTCAAAATCCTTATTTCAATGCTATCTTCAGGCAAAACTATTTCACTATTGTAACTTGATGAGATAGAAAGTATATTCTGAAAGGGGTTAATAATTGTAATGTAATATTAGGGTTAAAACTTCTTAAGGCCTGGCTTTTAAAATGTGATCTCTGTGGGTATGTTGTTCTTTGACTTTGCACTTCTGTTTGTTAGAATAGGATATGCATGTGCTCAAGCTTCCTGCACATGCAGATGGTTTATGAGCATATAAGGTCTATTGTGTGTGCCCAAAAAGTTGTGTGCACATAAATGGAGGCTGGCTTGAAGCTCCTATAAAAAAATTTGCCGTAACAAAGAATTTTACAATAAAGATATAATTATGTAACGACTTACAGCATGGTTCAGCTCTAAGATATATAATAATGTGACTGAAATCTTTGTGTGTCATTTGAAGCAAACAGATCACAAAACTTTAAACTTTGTTTAAATAAGCTATGATACAGTGTTATATCAAAGCAAGCTAGCAACTGACCACTTAATGATATAGTTACTCAAAGTCCTTGCACAATGGCAGTCATTGAAGGCTGAACTTCTTAGAAAGTCTTGCTCTGTCTTCAGTTAGCCAACTGGCAGAGTTCTAAAAATAACAGACCAGGATGTGGTTATCCACTTAATGAAGCTAGATTTAAAAATTGATTTTAAAGCTAGTCCCAAAAAGATGTCAAGCACTATGCTCTTCTGAGACTTCAGTATGCTTTTGTAGCAGAGTTCCATTTCAGGATAACAAAAATATATTCTTCTTATGGGGTGGGGAGGAAGTGTTTATTTGAAAGCAACAGGTCACCGTTTTTGTAATGCTAGTTTTATAACATTGTGTTATTGTAATCCCACTCTGAAAATATTTTGTACCTTCAGTTACAAATAATTGCTTTTTGTTCCATCATCTTATGCCAGGGTAAGATTGAGTATATACTTAATAGTAGGTTCAGTCGAGTTACTACTGCATATATTTTACTACCACGTGGTGTCATGATTCTGCCAGCAAACTGTTGATGCTGGCAGTGCTTCAGAAGTCTCCTTCCCCATTCCACACCAAGGTACGAGATGCCTTTACTATCTTTTCTACAATATGTTCACCTGCATGGGATTTCTCCAGGCTTGTTAATAGTGTTTTGAGCTTGAGAATTTATGGGAAATCTGACAAGTTTCCAGACACTGAACAGCTAGGGTTGCCAGATGGTTTCAACAAAAATACTGGACACACTTGACATTACATCACAATCTACATTACATCTTATTTAGAAAATACCGGACATTTATAATTTCTCAATGTTTCCCGAACAGAAAGCTCAAATACTGGACTGTCTGGTTCAAAACCGGACATCTGGCAACATATTAACAGCATATTTAAAAAAGAAATATCTGTGAAAAATCAAGAACATCTCTCATGCAGAAGATCCTTTCAGGGAACTGTAAACAGATCCATATCCTTTAAATTATCACTTTAATGTCCATGTACATAAAAGTAGAGGTTTAAATCCCATTGTATTTTTTCATAGAATACTTGGTTTAGCTACACCCATATGCATTACTTGAAAAGAAGATATTTGAATATAGAATTGTAGTAGTAATCTTCCCAGTAGAGTACTCAAGAGTCCAGTGAAGCCATATAACCATATGCTTAGTGAATCTTTAAGAATTTAGGAGCGATGTCCCAGGAATATGCCCTCTTTATGACCAGCATTTTTTTTCTGAATACAGTTTGGCATATGGTAAATTTGGTCACTGACAAGATAGGCTAACATTAATATATCATCATCTTTAAATCCTTCCTCTTCTGATTAAGTCCTGATGCCTCATACATTTTCTTCCTTTTATTTTGAAATCTTTTTAATTTCTTTGTAGCTCTACCCACTTGAATGAGGTATTAATACAGTTTTTCCCTCTGTGCAATTAAGTTGTCTGATTCTGAATCACCCACTGCTAGATTTAACTTGACTATTTCCATGTCTTTATTATCAGATTACCTAAAAATATTTCCATGAATATTAGCTGAAACAGCATCTTGTTAATATCTTACTTGTATAAAATGTCAGAATGCTAAGATCTATATTCTTTTGATCCCAGTTCCCAACGTCATTGTTCACTTGGAAATAATCTGGAAACTGAAATACAAATACATGATTAAACCTCTTCCTGGATCAGAGATGTCCATGTAATTTAGTGTTTGGATTGGTGTAGTTTCATCTCTGACAGAGCTACATAGCTTTCCTGCAAACTCCATCTCCTCAAGCCATCAGACTTCATTTATGCTACATAGTATTCACCTGAAATTACTTAAGTATTTTGTCCCTAAATAACATTTTTATGAGCCTGTTTAAACTGATCAGAGATTATTTGCCTTTTAACAAAATACTTCACTAAGGTGAGCATTGGTGGTTCTCCTTGACTTTCTAAAAACACACACACACTTTTCTGAAGTAGATCCATTGCTCAGCACTTCTAAGGTCTCAACTTAAATGACAGAAATGCACTCTTTAGTATCTAGCCTCTGATATCCTCAAAGGAAATGTACTTTTCTGAGGTAAAATTTGACTAATGGATGAAACTAACATTATCCTCTGTAATGCAATGTATGTCCTTCAATAATGACCTTCTGTATCTTTTTTGAAGCTGACAAAGTGGAAACATTTTAGCTCTTTATCAGACCTTGGACAAGACTTAATTGTTTTTCAAATGAAGTCCAAAAATGTAGCAACTGTTGGCTGATGTGTCTAAGATAAAGCTTTGGGAGCTGGATAAGCATGCTCCAAAATGAAGGCATAGGGAAAAACCACAGTGAACTAAACTTTTAAGTCCTAGATATGCTTAGAAATTGTATTTCTGATGGATGTGGCTTTACAGTACCATGTCTTTGTGTGCATGCTGAGATCCTCCTACTAGATCTCTTAATGGACCTGCTCTGCTAGTTTATCTACACAAAAGGCAGAAACATTTTTTTCCCCTAGGGGCAAGATTATTAAAAATCCCATGGAGGCTAGAAATTGGAATTCTCTTGGGAATTAAATTGTTTGCTTGCAAGAAGTTTAAAATTCTTGAAGTAATTGCTGAAGCTTATTAGAGAGATCTTGTATTACTAGCTCATTTATTTGTCTTCCCTATATTTAACTTGATGCAGCCCTTAACTTCCAGTGAAATCCGTAGTATTATTTGCTTGAAGTGCTACCGGATCTGGTCTCTAATACTTTTGAGGGGGACATTCTGCGCAAAATAAACCTTTTATGTAAATATAGGTATAACAAATATAACTTTCTACAAGCACCTGTGATGGGAGTGTTTCATCTCCTTTGAGACAGTTTAGTTGGCAATAATGATAGTCATGCGTGTTTTGGAAATCTAATTCTTTAAATTGGTCAGGAGTCTGGGCATTCATCATTCACTGCCCAGCTCTCATCAGGGAGTCATTTCCTTCATAGATGGCAAAGTCCTCAATTTAGTGGCTGAAAATAAAATCATTCAAGGTGAATGTCTTGCATGATTTAAAAGCTAACCTCAACAGGTTCTTCATAAAAATAAAACAATTCCTTACTTAATATTACTTGAGAAACAGGTTGACAGCCTCAATAATATCTTCAGTTAACTTGTGCAATTCACTTCAAAAATTGTTTTATTTTTTTATCACTATTCATGGCAGTTTTACAATAGAACACCAATTGAAATATATTAATTATTTTGGATGTTTTTCTATATTTTCAAATATGTTTTCAATTATAACACAGAATAAAAAGTGTACAGTGCTCACTTTAATTTTGTTATTATAAATATTGCCTTGTAGAAATGATAAACAAAATGAACTGAAAAATTCTATATCATACAAGTACTGTAATGCAGTCTCTTTATTGTGATACTGCAACTTACAATGTAGATTTTGTTGTTGTTGGTTTGGTTTTTTTGCAGTTACAGAACTGCACTGAAAAACAAAACAATGTAAAACGTTAGATCCTATAAGTCCAGTCTGTCTTAGTGATTTGGCTGAATAAAAAGTAAGGATGTAAAAGTTTACCTGGTAAACTGATAGGGGCTGGAGCAGCTCCTTGCCCACCCCTGGCAGGGCTCCAGCCTTGCGGGGGCTGCTGGAGCAGCCCCTGTTCGTGGTGGGCCCAGCCAGCTCTCCTCCCCATCCTCTGACCGCAGGTTACATACTAGCTCCTTGATCCTTGGGAGCTGGCTACAGAGCCCACCACGAAGCCTCACCAGGATTGAGGCTGGCAACTCTTGCCAGTCCATCTCTTGGGGAGCCAGCTGGTGCAGCAAAGTCGCCTCCCTGAAAGTGGGGCCAGCAGCCCTTGCTGACCCTACTTCCGGTGAGGTGGCTTCACTGTAGCCTTTGCCTCCCGAGCAGGCTTCACTGCGGGCTATGCAGTATAAAGGTTATTTAAACTTTATGCTGCAGAGCCCACAGTGCATGTAACCACTATGATTTTTTGTGGTTACATGGTTACACTTTTAAGCACATTTTTACATCCCTAACAAGAAGTAGACCTAATAAATTTGTTTACATTTACAGGAGATAATGCCTACTTCTTATTTACATTGTCACCTGAAAGTGAGAATAAGCATTCGCAAGGCATTTTTATAGCTGGCATTGAAAGGTGTTTACATGTCAGATATGCTAAACGTTCATATGCCTCTTCATGCTTAAGCCACCATTCCAGAAGACGTGCTTCTGTGCTGGCAAGGGTCATTTTAAAAATATGCATTAATTAAATTTGTGATTGACTTCCTTGAGGGAGAATTGTATGTTTCCTGCTGTTTTACCTGCATTCTGCCATATGTTTCATGTTGTAGCCGTCTCAGACGACATGTTACTCATTTTAAGAACTTTTTCACAGCAGATTTGACAAAATACAAAGAAGGTACCAATCAAAATTTCCAAAGGTAGCTACAACACTCAACCCAAGGTTTAAGAATCTAAAGTGCCTTCCAAAATCTGAGAGGGCATGCTTCCAGAAGTCTTAAAAGCACAACACTCTGATGCAAAAATTATAGAACCTGCACCACTAAAAAGGAAACTCAACCTGCTAGTAACATCTGAGGAAATTGAACATGCACAATTCCACACTGCTTTAGATTATCTAGCAGAACCCGTGATCATGATGGATGCTTTCCTCTGGAATGGTGGTTGAAGCATGAAAGGACATGTGAATCTTTAGCATATCTGGCATGTAAATACCTTGCAGTGCCAGCTACAAAAGTGCCATGTGAATGCCAGTTCTTACTTTCCGATGGCATTGTAAACATGGAAGGAGGCAAGATTATGTCCTGCAAATATAAATAATCGTATTTGAGGATTGGCTGTACAAGGACAACTGAGTGGACTTCCCAGGTTCTAAAGTTGTAATTGTTTGGGGGTTTTAATACAATTAGTTTTATACATAAGTTTACATTTGTATGTTCTGCTTTCATGATAAAGGGATTGCACTGCAGTACTTGTATTAGGTGAATTGAAAAATACTACTTTTTTACAATGCAAATATTTGTAACAAAAAATGAGCATTGTACACCTTGTATTCTGTGTGGTAATTGAAATAAAAATATTTGAAAATATTTAAATATTTTTGAATGTTTTCTACAGTTTTCTATTTAAAACCCTGATTGTGCATTTTATCATGATTAACTTTTTAATTGTTTGACAGCCCTAGATACAAAACACTTCTTTTCCCCATCATAATTTTATCAGTGCTGTTTAATGATTTCCCTCCTGGTGGAAGTATCTCTAATATTTATTGCGAATAAGGTTTATATTTTTGGTGTATTGACTACCTTGGGAATTGCAGATTTATTGTAGATACTGCTGTCTGAACTTCATGGCCTGCCACTCCTTCAGTAAGCCTTGCTCATATACAGCAATAACTAAACACAAGTAAAAATTTAAATACCTAAAACAGGTAAGAATGTGGATTATTCATAGATAGACTCTTACCAGCACTATCCCAGACCACTTCTTGTTTGGTGAAATAATTTCAGTTTACTCACTTGAAGTTCTTGGAAGCGTCCAAAAATCGATTAGGTTTATTAGTTAACCTGAAACTAAATAAGAGCTAAAAATCAATGTTTTAGATTGATTTTGCAATCTTTATGTAGTCTGTGATCACAAGTAGTATTCTCTTCATACATTCTTGTGGAGCTACAGTCACTTACTATAAGAACCGTGTGTCCAGAACCAAACTACATAAAAGCACACTATAAAATTCTACGAAGAAAACTTGCAAAATTAATGTTCACATTGCTTTCCCAGCTGTATGTTTTATTAGACAACAACAAAAAAGACAATTTGTTGCGTGTAAAATTGGGTGTCGGCATGTGGATGTTTGAGATAAAAATAAAAATGGCTTCTAGGATAAAAAAAACCTGTAAGCTGTTGGCTATTTTTCTGGCCCAAGAATGTGGTGACAGATGTTTCTTGTAAGAATCCATGTACCAGATTGTACTTGCCTGTAATATTTCACACCAATGCCTATTTCAGAAAAATGCCTTTTGATTCTCTAGAGCTTTGAGAAATAATTGCAGATCTTCCTCGTAATACAGTTGGAACCAAAGAGGCCCAACTTGGCTATACATTTTTTTTACCCTCCTGAAGTTTATCCAGACTGTGTCATACAAAGCAATCTTGTAGAGCCGGGCTACTCAACACGTGGCCCATGAGTCGCATGCGGCCTGTAGCCTGTTTGTTTGTTTGGCCTGTGGGTGGGAGCCAAAACAAAAAAGTAGTCAATATAATGGTCTTCTGTTAATATGCATTTTAGTAGTTACATTCCTGGAGTGTCATTGTTCGTTTAAAAAATGCTGTCATATGGGTGGAAATCGGGTAAATATTACATTTTATTAATATGAACATAACTGACTTAAATGGGGCCTGTGTGTTGTGTAGTCTTGCCTTAATCTTTGTATTCATACTCGTCAGTGTGAAAAAAGCTATTTGCATATATTTTTGCATGCATATGCAACCACACTTAAGTTGCGGCCCTCAACATGTGCTGTGAGTATCATTGTGGCCCCCGGAGCTTCCAAAGTTGAGTAGCTCTGCTGTAGAGGGTATTTAGAAGAAAACTTTTGGATAGATTTGAAGGCAGACTCGGTTTTAACCTGAAATCCTTACTGGCAACTGGGCTTTTTTTGAGCCCTTAACAGATGGTCCCATACTGTAATAGATATATTGTAAGATTGAATCTATGGGATCTGGCTATGGTTTAAGAGCTCAGCTGCTGTGTAGGTGCTTAAATGAAATGGACAGCTTTTTCAAAAATTCTCCGTCTGACAACAAAAGATGTGGAATTCTTATAAAAATCTTGCCCCTGATGTTGACAACCTGTATGTAATGTGAACATAGCTATTTAAAATTGGATTGAATTTTTAAGAATAAGGTTTGTCGTGGGTCTTTTTTTCTTTTCCAAGTAAGGGAGGTGACATGAGTGGCTGCCATGTACCCCTCTTGCACACCTGTGTGTTTCTCTGCATGAGGGGTATAATCTAACTTCTAAAGATTACAACAGATTTTGTTACTACTCTAATTCTAGCACACTTACAGGATTTGGCATTTTCCCAAAAGGAACAATTGTTAACTTTGCCCTTGTTATCTAAGAACTTGGAGTTGGTCATTTTATAATCTCCAAAATTGATGTTGACTTTTGTGTCAAAGAAACCTGTTACTTCTGAATCTGTTAAAAAGTATTTTTGTTTTGTCTTTAGATGTGATTTTATTTTTCTTTGCTTCATTTTGTTTCTCCTCTTTGCATATGTACTGTAATTTTTCAGATGTTGGAAGATCAGCCCTATTTCTCTCTAGCCTTAATTCTCCTTTCTAATAATTCCATCCAGTTATTGCTCTTGACCATATTCTAACCTTTTACTTGAATAGTCAGTGAAGATGAGTTCATCTCTACTTTCCTGCCTTGTTTGTAACTTGTTCTGATTTTTATTTTCCATTAAGCTTTAGTGTACCTTAAACCTAATATGTTTTCTTGACATCTTGCACTATATTATGAGAGTCTGAAGTTGTAAGGGGGAACAGGTGTGTTTTTATTATTATTCTTGAAGCGTCTTCCATAGCAGCAAATATTTGTAAACAGTATGATAACATATTAATATGGACTTGCAAAACTGTTTGTGAAAACACTGCAACCAAGACACACACATTTCTCCATACTCCTAAGATGATGTAAAAAGTGTTATTCATTTGTGCAAAACATTACTTAGAATGGATAAAATTTTGCAAGACTTTGTTAATAAGACTCAGAGCATTTATATTCTTGAATACAGGGCAATGAAACTGACAAATACGGTGTGTAGCACACTATGTGCTCATATAGCACAGTGCCTGGAAATGGTAGAAAGACCTTGATGCAACATGTAATAAATGTTGGCAAATTTTTAATTATTGTTTTTCTTCAGAATGAAGAAATCATTCCACATGTTGTAGTGGGATGGTTTGTGTGTTTTGTTTTTTAGTTTACACAAACAAGCAAACCATTTAAATTCCTGTGATTGGGGCACAAAAGTAAAAATCTTGATTATGCATATAATTCTTGCAATAGAGTAAGAGCCTGTATATGTAAGTGGGGAAAATCGTGTTTGTACCTGCAATTTTTGTCCTCCTTAATGTTCTGCCTTTAAAGACTATGTTGAGGGTTAACCTGGTGTAAGGGTTAAAAGGTCTGTGCCTTCTATAACATCCATTATTAAAACAAAATTGAAACTCACAGTTACAGAATCATTTGTAATACTTTACCATGCACAGATTTACCACCATTGTATCACTGCATGAAATATAGTCTGATTACTAGTGATGAAATATTGTAAGAATGAATTGCCAAGCTTATGAATGTTTTAAGACTTGATTTTTTTTTTTAGCAGTCTTCTCTTGGGCTGGTCCTGAGAGTGTACACAGTAGGTCTGTATTGTTGGTTTATAGATGCTAACGAGGAAAGCTTGGCTTCTGAGCTCTTATTTTAGTTTATATCGTTATAGTATATATTCTGCAAATCTGAGTTAGCATATTGTAAACTGCTTTGGTTCCGCTTAAGCATACATAATAAACTTTTATAATGTAATAACATGCAAAATCACTACCAAGTTAATGTATTGTGCAAAAAAGATGTAAACATTTTATTAATAAAATGTTTTTATAAATATGTTGTCTTGAACAGTTTCTGGAGTCTTACTATAGAAATCCTCAAAAATATTGTTACATCTCACTATGTACAGCATAGTCTGTAGGAAAAGAGTTGTAGAAAACACCCCCCAAGAAAAAAGGAGTACAAATAATACTTCAAACACAATTTTAAAAACACAAGCTTAACCTACCATTATTCATCTGAAAGTTAAATCTTTGTTGCAGGTGCATACACCAGGCAACACAAGACAAAGCTGCACAAAAAGAGAGAGAGTAACAATGAAAACAGGAAATGCAGCACCTGTCTCTAATACATCCTTTCACTTGAAACCTAGCCTCTGAGGAAAATATAGACCCTCACAGTCTCAGCTACTCCAAGACCTGGCAAACATACCAGTGTTAGGTTGTGTAGTGCATTGCTTTTAGATTGCTTTTTCTAGTTGCATTGTCACAAACTGGTATTGTTCTGATTGGATAAACCAGACTTTTGTTCACCTGTGGCTTTTTTTAAATCAATGGTTTTGTATCATGTCTTTGCTTTTAAAAGCACTTATTTGTCAAGTGTTGCCTACTGAAACTTCATATTTACACCCAGGTCTTCGCTGTATGTTTTATCCTGCATCAGGTACTATGGTTGGCGCAGTACAAAAACAATGAAACCTATCAATTCAATATAACATACAGTGGGTATGGAGTTTCAGACTTTGAGTTGCGCAGCTTGTTAGGATAAGCCACTAGCTGGCCATGAGATGTGGGGGGTGGTTTTTTTGTTTTGTTTTTTTTAAATCTGAGCATCCACAGGCATGGGCCACCACTTCATGCAGCTCCAGTTGGGCAGGAATGGTGAACCTTACCCGCTGGGAACGGCCATCCTCTGAATACTCAGGGAAGTAAAACATCATGTGGCCTGCTAGCACCTTTACCCTTATAAGCTACAACCCGATGTTTAGAAACCCCTGCAGTAAGCTCAAACCTGTCTTTGCAACTGTGGAATCTGCAATTGCTCTTATAGTTACCTGAGCTAGGAAGAAACTTCTCTTTTCATCCTACTGCTTCCCCTAACCACCCAGATCCCTGCTACATGGATTTTGATATTGTCAACTTAAACCAAAATCTCAGGCATGGTGATTCATGTATGGTTTGGGTTCTTGTGTATAAGGCTGAGGGACTAATCTCTGCTTTATAAAACCAAAAGTATAGCTGAATTTTGTACGCAAAAGAAATCTGTAATCATATGACTAACTTACATGTTCATTCACTGCAGTTTTGTGCACACATAGCTAATTGTGGCCATAGGTGTATGCGATTTCATTTGTGCTGTGGTAGGGAAGTAAGACATTCCATATGTGCAGCTTACTTAAAAATAAGACAAGCATAATGAACATCTCTCTTGCAAATATAAAACTATTGAAGTGAAGCAGAAGCGCTTTAAACCACAAAACAGAAAAGAGAATAATACATAAGAACGGCTTTCTGAAAAGATGTTTTTCACACCAGAGAGCAATAGACTGAGCAGAAAGGCAAGTATATTGTATGTACATAAGCCTCCTATGGTGAAGATATAATTGCCTTATATTCATTGCATAATGATTATGGTTGCTCAAGCCACGGAGTTAATAGGCTGCTGCACTCTACCTGCAAGCATGGTGAAGCACTGCTGCAAAATAATTAACTCTAAATCCTGTTTTGGGTTGGCTATTAGTTTCAGGGTAACTGCATCTGTATTTCCTCCCCTAGCAACCCTAATGCCTTGAGAAACCATGTACTGAAAGGTTTCCAGCTTCCAAATGTCTTCTTTCCTGGGCAGAGACCCATGTCTCATTCCCTCCTGCCTGGGAGTTTTAAGGCTGTACAGCTCTTTTCCTAAACTGTAAGCTCAAAGCAAGCACATGCATTCTTAGGTAAAAGCATTACACAGAAGCCATTAAAAATATTTCTGTATGCATGCTAAAAGCTCAGTAGAGGTTGCTTATCAGTCTTATTGGGCCCTGTTAGGCTAAAGTCTTTCCAACCCTTCTGCAAGGTTTGGGCCCTCCTAGTCCTATCTGCTAGATTAGAAAAAAGATCCTTACGTCCATTTAAGGTCAGGCTACTTATTCCAAAGTCTTGTGTGTGTGTGCGTGTCTTGGTATCTGGTGCTATGACAATCTGAGTGACTGCCCTTAATTACTATCCATTGTTAATCACTACCCATTGTTTTTGTTTCCTGGAGGAGGTATACTAGCCCTCCCGCAAGGAGGACACAATCATACATGAACTATTCATTTAGTACAATGGAACCCAAAGATACTTAAACTTAATTCAATAATGTCTTCTAAGGATAGGGCGGGAAATTGCCTTGTTTCTCACAGTCTTAAAGGTGTGTGCGGCTGCTGTTGTGTGGTCATGCCAGCATCTTGGTGAGGCCTCTGAATGTTGTACATGTATTGAAAGTACTTGGTGCTTCATTTTGGGCTACGACTACACTGCAAGGTTTTTGCACAAAAATGACTGCACAAAAACCTGCAGTGTGTCCACACCTCAAATGTGCTTTTGCACAAGTAAATCAACAGTAAAACGGCAGAACAGAGGGCTTTTGCCGGTGTAGGTAAGCCTCCTTATACAAGGCATAACTCCCTTTTGTGCTACAGCTATTGTGCAAAACGGCAAGTGTGGGTGCTCCAGCTATTGTGCAAAACGGCAAGTGTGGGTGCTCCAGCTATTGTGCAAAACGGCAAGTGTGGGTGCTCCAGCTATTGTGCAAAACGGCAAGTGTGGGTGCTCCAGCTATTGTGCAAAACGGCAAGTGTGGGTGCTCCAGCTATTGTGCAAAACGGCAAGTGTGGGTGCTCCAGCTATTGTGCAAAACGGCAAGTGTGGGTGCTCCAGCTATTGTGCAAAACGGCAAGTGTGGGTGCTCCAGCTATTGTGCAAAACGGCAAGTGTGGGTGCTCCAGCTATTGTGCAAAACGGCAAGTGTGGGTGCTCCAGCTATTGTGCAAAACGGCAAGTGTGGGTGCTCCAGCTATTGTGCAAAACGGCAAGTGTGGGTGCTCCAGCTATTGTGCAAAACGGCAAGTGTGGGTGCTCCAGCTATTGTGCAAAACGGCAAGTGTGGGTGCTCCAGCTATTGTGCAAAACGGCAAGTGTGGATGCTCCAGAGAGGGTTTTTGGTTTTTCCCTATGGGAAAAAGCACAGGTGCTCTGATTACTATTCACAGAATAGTAATCAGAGCTTTCTTGCGCAAGAGCATCCATGCAGTGTGGACGCTCTCTTGTGCAAAAGCACATCACTTTTCTGATGCACTTTGAGGTGTGGACAAGCTCTTGCACAAGAAGTTTTTGCACAAAAACTCTTGCCCAAAAGGCTCCTTGTGCAAGAAGCCGGCAGTGTAGATGTAGCCTTGATGTTCTGAGTAAGGACATCTTTGTCCCCGCCTGCTGATGTAGAGGGGAAAAAAGTGGACTGCAGCTGTCTGCCCAAGTCTTTGTCTCTCTCTCAGCCAGAACGAGAAGAGGCAGCCAAACTGACTGAAGACTATTCCTCTTGCTCACTCCATGCAGCTGTTACCAATGGAAAGCATGAAGAAGGTTCCTCCACAATGATAAAGGGTTGTGCAACATGCTTATTGGTTGCAAACCAGAGTCTGTCACTGGTCAGGTGTTGGAAAAGGCCCCAATTTAATTAACAAGCTCCTTCTCCCTACAAGGGGAACTGCTGTAGGCTTTGACTTGGACAATTTCCACATCCTATAATAGCCCTACCAGTGGGAGAAGAAAGGAAGTGACTCAAGTCCCATGACTTGAACTCGAGTCCGACTTAAGTCACCTAGGTGACTCGACTCGGGTTCATTGTTTGTGACTTAAGACTCGACTTGAGACTTGCTAATTTTGTTAAATCGACTTGGGGAAAAAATTGTCCAAAAATGCCACTGTTCTGACATGCCCAGAGCGGTGATCACAGCCCCGCCTCCCAGCTGGCACTCCCAGGCTGGGAGGCGGGGCCGCGATCACCACTCTGGGCACATCAGAAGCCTAGCGAGGGCGGGGGAAGTGGATAGGAGTCCCAGCCACTCCTCCCACTTCTGACGCGCCCAGAGCGACGATCGTGGCCCCGCCGCCCAGCCTGGGAGTCCCAGCTGGGAGGTGGGGCTGCGAGCAGCGCTCTGGGCGCATCAGAAGCCTGGCGGGGGCAGGTCCAAGCCACTCCCCTCACCCCCGCCAGGCTTCTGCGCAATCACAGGCTCCTAGCGCCGATCGTGGCCCCACCTTCCAGCTGCTCTCCCCTCCCACGCCAGGCTTCTGTCCAGTGCGCAGCCGGTAAAATCAGAAAATACCGGACTGTCCGGTAGAATACCGGACACCTGGCAACCCTAAGTACTTCAGTCAAGTAAACAATTATTATATGCATGAAGATGTGAGTTTTCAGATTTGTAAAAAATAAATTGATAAAAATATCGTATTTACTTGTCAACAATATGCTACATTGTTGTGGGTTATTTTTCCTTTGAAACGATGCTATACGTGGTGAATGTGTTCCATTGGTTTTTTGTTGTTTTGAACACATCTAGGCGCAATTTCCAGTTTTAACATAGAGATACAACAACA